GTACTTACTTCAGAGGGTCAAGGACTGCAGCCTTCAGTATGGACTGAGGCTCAATGTCAAGAAGACAAAGATTCTCACCACTGGACCAATTGGTAGTATCAGGATGGATGGCGAAGAGACTGAAATTGTTCACAGCTTCAGTTTGCTCGGCTCCACAGTCAACACTCTTGGCACCAGCAGCCAGGAAACCAAAAGACGTATTGCGATGGGAAATTCTGCTGTTAAGGACCTCTCTAAAGTACTCAAGAACAACGGTGTCTCTCTGGAGACTAAGGTGCACCTGATATAGCCCATGGTCTTTGCAATCACTTGTTATGCATCAGAGAGTTGGACAATGACTAGGGAAGATAGAAGGAGAATTGACGCCTTCGAGCTGTGGTGCTGGGGAAGAGTATTGAATGTTCCATAGACTTCCAAGAAAACAAACAGATCCATCCTAGAGAGGATTAAATTAGTCTAGTCCTTGGAGGCAAGGATTTTGGGGCTTCGTGTGACATACTGTGGACATGTTGTAAGGAGAGACAGGTCCTTGGAGAGGGACATCATGCTTGGTAGGGTAGAGGTACAGTGCAGGAGGGGAAGACCCTCTATGAGGTGGATTGATTAGGTGACTGGGGTAATTGAGATGGGTGTGTCAGAAGCAATAGGATTGGCACAGGATAGTGCAGGGTTTAGGCCTGTTGTACATAGAGTCGCTATGAGTCGCAAACGACTTGACTGCACATAAGAACAGCAACATTCCACTTTTGCTGAGTGTCTTTATGAGGAAGGAATGTTGGATTTTGTCAAATGCCTTTTCTTCATCAATTGCTAAGATCATATGGTTCTTATAGTTTTGTTAATATGGTAAGTTACATTGATTGTTTTTCTTATGTTGAAAATTCTTGTATATCTGTAATTAATTACACTTGGTCATGGTGAATTTTATTTTTTAATGTATTTTGTATTCTATTAGCTAGGATTTTGTTAAGGATATATGATATTCATGAGAGATATTGTTCCGTAGTTTTCTTTCTGTGTAATATTTTGCCTGGTTTTGGTATATGGTTATGATTGCTTCATAATTTGACTCTGGGAGTATTGCTTTGTTTCCATTTAATAAATTAATTTAAGTATAATTGGTGATAAATCCTTTCTGAATGCTTGGTAGAATTCAGCCGTGAAGACAACTGCTCTAGGACTTTTCTTGTGTGGAAGTCTTTTTATAATATTTTCAATTTCTTCTTTTTTGATGAGTCTGTTCTATATCTTTCCTTGTCAATCTGGGTAGAGCATGAGTTTCACGGAATTTGTCCATCTCCTCTAGGCTTTTTAGTTTATCAGAGGATAACTTTCCATAGTATTCTGATATTATTGATTTAATTTCATCTGGTTCTGTTGTGATGTCACCTCTCTTTTTTATATTAGTCTTTATTTTTTTATTTTAAATTTTATTTTGTGTGCATGTATAGTTGTGTGTGTGTGTGTGTGTGTGTGTGTACCATCAAATCAGATCTGAGTGGAGAGGAGGAGATTGTTCCTCCTTCTCCAGCAGAGCATCTGGTTAGATTTTAAAGAAAGTTTATAAAGAAATTGAATTTCCATTTATTCATTGTTGCACATTTTCCTCCCTGTCTCCCCTCCCCCCAGTTCACCTTTTTTTTTGGGGGGGGGGGAAAGAGTTCTTTCATTGTTATACAGTCCTTCCTTACCTCCAGACCACTTTATTATGCAGCTCTTATTCTGGACTCTTGTCATGCCAATAACACCTAATCCTATATTCCTTTTATACAGTTCTCTTCCAAGTATGTTTCAATGTCATGTACATTATTTATCCCCTCTTTATTAGTTTCCCTGTAGCCCTCATGTCACAATAGATGTGAACCTTGTCCAATTTTGTGCCATCCTCAGCATCTCTGACAAAATGGAACCCATTGGTGCAGCCACTGTGTCAATCCATCATTTTGTTAGGGCTGTTTCTCTCTTTTGTTGATCCTCCACCTTCCCAAGCATGATATCCTTTTCCAAGGAATAGCCTCTCCTTACACATGCACAGAGTATGTGAAATGATATAAAGAGGAGCACTGAAATGAGATGACATCTCAAAGGGTGTAGTTTTTAGGAAGGAGTGTGTGTGTGTGTGTGTGTGTGTGTGTGTGTGTAACTAATGAAAAAGTAAATATGTTGCGGGCCATGAAAGATAGAGCAAATAAAGTGGTAAATTAAAGGACAGAAGTCCTAAAGAAAGTAAAATGGTAGAACTATTCCCTATAACCACATAGTCACACTTTTAGAAGGCAGTGATGACATAGATTGAAGTGATGCACAATGAGATGGCTTGAATTAGATGTTAAGCATAAATAGGAAGTTCTATTCTTGCCGAAATCAGGGAAATATTTTTCATGATTATAGAGTATGAACACATGCAATAGAAGCTATAGTTCAATTTTCAGGTAGATGAGAAGTCTTTTCATATCTCAGAGAGCCATGTGGTGAAAGTTATGCATTATTAATAAATAAAATTATCTTTATGAAATTTTTTACATCATGTTTAAATAATTTTCCTTTAAGTTTTCCATTTTATATAATAGCAGATCAGTTCTTCACCAGTGACTGGAGAAGGGCAATGTCATTCAGATAAATTCTTAGAGGAATTTTTAATACTACTTTTAATGTAAGTGTCAAAACATGATTCCAAACAATATGTTATTAAATAATGCATCAACTATCTCATAATCCAGGAAAGAAAGAAAACTTACCTTTCCAGGAAGACGTATGAGGTCATTCAACATAAGGATAGAATTCATTATTTCTTCCTGTCCAGGAGAAATAGATCATTTTTAAAAAAGAAAACAGAAGTAGCATTATCATAACCACTTTTAATTTTATTTAATTTAGAATTTGTGTGTCTAGAAATAAAGGAGATGTCATATTTTTCAGCTAAGAGATTGACTCAGCTAAGAAGTCAGACTTTTTCAGAGAGATGAATGCTTTGCCTCAAATTTTTCCTATTATTCTGGCCCCTTTTCTCTTATTCCTTGTCATGACCAGAATCACCAGTAGGCAACTGGCATGAGGAAAGATGAAGATGAAGTAACAGGCTACAACTAAGTAAAATTTTGAGAAAGGTTAACAGAGAATTATGGAAAAGGAAAA